GTCCCTCACATCCCTTAAAGGACCCTGGTCCATGGTGACATGAGACTGATTCTGAGGAGCAGGCAGACTGGTAAGGAAGGACCGACGTCCTGTCTGCTGGTCCTGGTGTACCATCTGTTTTCTCCTTGAAGGACCAGGCATCCACCTGCAGACTCCACCCAGGGGAAGCCTGGGAGAGCCTGTCTGTCTGGGCAGGCTTCCAGAAGACCTGGAACATAGGTAATGGAGCTCTCTCAGTACCATCATGGCTGGCTGGCTGCTGATGCCAGCTCCTGATGGTGGACGCCTGCAGCCGGGGCTGCCACCATGGACGCAGCTGAGAGCCCAGGACACCCCAGTTCCCAACACAGGCAGCAGTGGAGACCCGAGGTGCCTACTGCGGGTAAGCTCAGACAGCTCTGCCTGTCACCTCTCATTTCATGGGGGGTGGGGGTGGGCCCAGTAGGCTGGTGCTGAGACCACCTGTGACTGTGCCGTCTTGGTGGCTGTCCTTACATGGTGTGGAGCAGAGTCCCCTCACGGCGTGTGGCTGGCCGGTGTTTGCTCTCCAGGTTGGTCTGTTCCAGGATGGTTTATTCTCTCTGTTGACACTGGGAGGTGCCTTTCTAGACTCCAGAAAGTTCTTTGGAGACTGGCACCTGCTGCTGTTGGCATGCTTCTTGTTCACAGTCCCAACAGTGAACAAACATGCATATGAGCATGCTTGGTCTTGTTTGGTAGTCCCAGGCCCTTAGGGCCACAGAGGGCGTCTGTGATGTATCTTCACTCCAGCCCCTGTCCTGTTTCCCTTCCACATCCCTGTCATGCATGTGCAGGTGGATGTGGCTTTAGACGGTTTTTGTTTTCCTTAAAATTTTTATTGTTACTTGTGTGTTTGTGTGTGTGCATGTTGGCTAGAAGAGGGGTTCAGATCCTTTGGAGCTGGAGTTAAGAGGTGCTGGAAGGGCACCTGATTTGTCACATGGGTGCCAAGATCCAAACTCTGGTTCTCATGATGGCACAGGTATTCTTAACCACGGAGCCATCTCTCTAGGCCCCCCCCCCCCATGTATACATTTTAAGCTGTTATTATTACTAGTGTGAGTGATGTGTGAGTATGGGTGTGCACATGCTACGGTGTATGTGTGCAGGTTGGAGGGCAACTTTGGGGAGTTGTTCTTGCCTTCCACCAGGTTGAGGCAGGGGCTCTCCCAATCTGTCTGCTGTGTACTCCAGTCCGGCTGGCTCACAGGTTTCAAATGTCCCGTCTCTACCTCCAATTTCACATGAGCTCTGGGATCACAGATGTGGGCCACCACATTTTTTTTTTTTTAAGTGTATATGCCCATGTGAGTTTGAACACACGAGTGTGGGTGCTCCAAGCCAAAGAGTGCATCAGACAGACCCCTGGAGCTGGAGTTATAGGTAGTTGTGAGCTGCCTGATGTGGGTGTTGGGAACTACTGTCTTTTCAACCCCGCACCCAGCTTTATATTTTTACATGGGTCTGGGGACCAAACTCAAGCCATCAGGCTCTTGCAGCAAATGCCTTGACCTCCCGTGCCATCCTGCTGGCCTGGTACGTGCATTTTAGTTCTGTTGGTTTGGTAAAATCATGTCTGCTGTTACTAGTACAACTATCCTGCTGCTGCCACCCAGGGGACAGTGACTCATGCCTGAACGAACCCCAGCAGCCTCCTCTCTGCCTGTGGGTGCTTGTCATGGCTGATGGCAGCCTGGTGTCTCCACGGTGATGTGCCAGATTCTCATGGGTCCTTTCACGGCGCTGTCCCCAAGCAAGCTGTCTGAGGAGGTTCTAAGTGGCGGGTTGGGCTTCTCATCAACAGGTATTTTCTATTTAACACGCACGAAGAGGGGAAGGTAACTCAGTGACACATAAGGGAGTCCCAGGCTACTGCTGAGGATGAAGTTCAAATTAGTCTAATTGGTATTTCATGTTTAAAAGCAAAACATGCTGTGTGACCAATTATAGGGGCGCGCAGAGACTATGCTCAGGGGAATGTCTTAGGACCGTCATGGGGTGTGTGTGTGTGTGTGTGTGTGTAGGGGGGGCTACTTCAGTTACTCCACTGTACCCCAGAGGCAAATGAGGAGCTGAGGGGTCTGCAGGTGCTCTGAGCAAGTACTTGGCAGGCAGGGCTGAACTGACTGTATTGGGCCTGTGACCGATGCTGGATCACAGTCACCCATTACCACCCGCTCCTCTGGACTGGTAAGGACAGAGGCCCGATGGCACTGCCAGGCTGTGCTTCTGAACACAGGCCTTGGTCTGGCAAAGGCCTGTCAAAACAGCAGGCAGGAACAGATGGAGGGGCTCCCGCCTCCCTGCTCAGAGCCAAGCAGACCCTGTCAGCTTTAGGGAGAACCCTACAGAGGTGCCCCACCCTATCCCCCAAGTCGGGGGCCTCCTGGCTTCCAGGTTGCTAGCTCTAGGGTTCTAGGAAACCAGCAGTTCGGCCTGGGGACATCACGCATGAAGCATCTGAGACTGGGCTCTCTGGGATCACTGGCACCCCCTGCCATGGTAAGTAGGGCTGCAGGCTCCACGGGCAGCCATCACCTTGGCATCTCACGGGCCTGGGTTTCCTGAGATGCTCCCAATTTGTTTCAGTTGCGTCCTTCTCAACAAAGGCAGTTCATGAATGTAGAATGTTTTCATAAATAATGGATCGCCTTCCCTCAGCCCACGCCTGGAGTTCTCGTCGGGAACTGCTGCGCTGATGGATGCGCATCAAACGTGCTTGCGTGTGCTGCCCACCGAGGGCCTGCTAATGTCTTTGAAGCCCTGGGCACAGCTAATCCAAACAGCTAATTAAAATGAGATTGACTCACTGGGAGCACAGTCCTCCAGGCACAGAAGCAAGCTCATTTATTCACAATTGCTAGGAGGACCAGGCTAGGCCGGGACCCCATTCCCACTGCAGAACTCACCTGGAGTACTACTGCTCGGCTCCCAGCATGCTCTGTGACAGGCAGGATAAAGACTATGAAGTGGCACAAACCTGCTCCCAGAGAGTGCAGGTTAATTCCTTAGTATCTCATGGGGCTTCTGGCCTTAGAGCGACAAGGGTTGAGGGCCATTGCCCTGGGCACAGTCCTGCCCTGTGGGCTGTGGTCTGTAGGTCAGGGAGGAAGCGAGTGGATTGTTACCTGCAGGACTGCTGGGGTACCCGGCTCCAGTGCAGCCAGGCCTCCCATCCCTGTTGAGGTGCCTCAACCAGTACCATGAAGCAGGGTATATATGTTGAGACTTATTTTGGGACAGGTGAGTGTGTGCAGTCCATCACGCACACTGGTTAGTGATCTTCATCAGAAATGGTGGTGACCATCCAGATGGAACCTGAAGCCAGATGTTTGACGGGGCTGATGAGCAGGGGCTGTGAGGTCCAAGGGCTGTGGGTGGAGCTGGGTCCTCAGCTGGGTGGAGGTCTGGTGCGTTCTCTATATTCTATAGCAGTCACATGAGATCTAGCCTATATTTATTGTCCTGTTACCAACTTTTCTGTTTCTAGAGACAGGGCCTCAAACTTAAAATCCTCCTGCCTCAGCCTCCCGAGTGGTGGGGAAAACAAGTGGGAGTCGTCATGCTCCACTTGTAAAGTTGGCTTTTTGTTTTTTGGTTGGTGGTGGTTTGAGGCAAAGGTTTAATCTGATAGGTTTCCCAGAGGGTTCTGTAACGCAAACCTCATAGAAATGGCTTGATGGCTACCTGCAGCCCTGTGACACATGCATTACGGGGAAGCAGGTTCTTCAACCCGTAAACGAACTGCCAGGCTCTGGTTCACACGCCTGTGTGCTGTGCTGATGGGAGCGGGCAGAGCCGTGGGTCTGACCCTGGATCCGATCCTGGGTCCTGGCCCCACCTGCCTGCAGTGGACCAGCTAAGTTCAGCTGTGCTGGAAGTGGCCCAAGTGGGCGAATGGAGAGGCAGAAATGCAAGTCACCTTGAGGGTTTGGCAAACACCTGCCATAAAGGCTGTCCTTGCATGCCGTGACCTTGAGGATCCAGTGCCGGAACCAAGCTGCTCGCCATGGCATCAGCAGCACCTTTGTGTGTCACAGCCACAGGAGGGCATGGGACTCTGGCTAGGACAGGGCGGCAACAGAGTGACAAGCAGCCAGCAAGGGGCAGGCTCATCTTCACAGGAAGTGGTGGCTGAGGGGTGTGTGTGCTGGGACAGGTAGCTATGACAGCAAGGCTCGGCTGGGCATGGGCCAGAGTCCTTTCCCTTTCCAGGGTGAAGTTCCCAGGCGCAAAGCAGGAGGGCAGCATCAGAGGCCGAGCGCAGGATGCTGCCCAGGAGGGACTCTGCCGCCACCACTGCACACACAGGCAGCGCTGGCCAAGTCGCCGCAGGCCTGCCACAGCAGCCAGGTAACCATCTGGTCTGGATGTGTGGCCACAATGCCACGGCCCGTGCCATCTGCTGCTTCAAGCGAGAACTCGGGAGGAGCAGGGTCCCTGTCTGAGCCTCTACCTCGGGGCAGTTACCACCTGAAAGCCCCTCACCAGGTGAGGTGGTTCTCAACTCCAAGCAAACGGCTTGTGGTGCTGCCATGTGCCATTTAACAAGTGGTCGGGGGGGGGGGTGCCACCCCTCATGGAGGGGCTGCGAGCCTAGGGTGGAGACTAAGCGCTTCGTCCTGGGTTGCTGGCTTTCCAGTTCAGGAAGGACGGAAACCACACTGCTGGAGAAGGCTGGTAATTCTGTTGCTCAGCTGAAGGCAGCACAGTCCCTTGTTTCATGGGAACTGCTGTCCGGGCTCCAGTCGAAGCAAGGCTGCTCATGGCCTGCATGGGCAGCCAGCCCAGTCACAACGGTGAGACAGTAAGCCCGGCCAAAGATGACCGCACGCTCCCCAGACCCTGCTCTGAGCTGTCATGCTGCACGCCCCGCCCCCGCCGGTGACAAACCAGGGCTACAAACGGTGGAGGGAGACTTCAAGTGTGCAGGATCCGCACTGTGCACCTCGCAGGAGCAGCAAACAAGGCCACGAGTAAGTCAGAACCTTTAATAGCAGAGCAGATGTGGCTGTGTAAGGCAAAAGGCAAGCTGCAGGTGTGTGGCCACCTCTGGTTCCCAGGGGCATGTCCTGGTGGCTCCCGGCTTTCAGGGCAGCTGAGGGAGACCGACCACCTGTCCCCACCCTGCTAGCAGGTGCAGCAGCAGCAGTCCCAGCCGGTGGGGACAGACTCTGGGTAGGTCTGCTGCTCTGGGGGGTGGGGGTGGGGGGTTCCCAGGAGGCTGAGCTGACAGCAGAGAACACCCACAGAGCTGCTGTGTAAGGAACCATGTCCCTAAGCACCCCGTCATGAAGCCCGGGGGCGGGGTATGCTCAAAACTACCCTAGCTGCTGGTGGGTATGATATTTCCACTCCAGTCACCTCTGCATCCGCTCTTCCAGCTCTTTGATGGCCCTTCATGGTGCTGACCAAGGAGTTTCCTCAGTGGCACTGACGCAGGCCTGGGAAAGCCTGAGAGAAGACCTAGCAAGACCAGGCCAACAGAGGGCGCCAGACCAGCAAGACAGAGGTGAGCTGCCACCTGCCGGCACTTGTGCAGTGTGGTTCAAAGTCCTCCCTGGGAGGGAGGGAGGGGCCTACCAGGAGGCCATGCCAAGCTCCAGCTGGCTCTGTGGCCTGTCCAGCTAGACAGTGGGAGTCTGAGGTCTCCTGAATGTCTAAGCTGAGAAACCTTCAAGCCACGCAGCCACGTATTGGTTGGAGGTGTGTCTCAGTGGCAGAGTACTTGCCTAGCATGCACACAAGGCTTCCACTGGGAAGGTGAGTACTTCCCAGGGCTGCACTTAGTACTGCTCTGGCTTACACGTGGGTGAGCCCCACTCCCTTTGAACATGCATGCCCTCCTCTCAGCCCCTCTCGCTCCTTTTTTGTTTTTTTAAACCACCTTGGTCTCCAGGGCACGAAGCCTCCCCACTCGGCCTTGTCGCCCTCTGCAGAGCCAATGTGGAGTGTCCCGGTACACTTGTTTATTATACTGCTTTTTGAGCTGGTGTTCGCGGGGACAGGGACTCTGCCTGAGTGGGCTGGGTCTCTGTACAGGAGGGTTAGGTGCCTGGTCAACGGGAATTAGGGTCTGCACACCAATGCTTTCACTGGCGGGGTCTCCTGGCCACGGTGTGGAGATCTGCCTGTGACATTCTGCAGGCAGAGTGGGTGAGCTGTGGGTGCTGTTTGTCTAGAGCACTGTGCTGCTCTTGGGGTGCTGAGGGAAGAGATACCAGCAGCCAGGCTCAGGAACTGAGCCCCAGCCATCCCCATGGAGTGCCTTTTCCTTCCTTCGCAGCCCATATACTGGACAGAGCAGCCAGTGGAAGGGAGGCTGTCCTCACCCAGGTAAGGGCCTATATGAACTGTGTGAGAACCACGGAGGGGGCTGGACCAGGGTAGGGTCAGCGCCACACACAGGAGACCCTAGAGTGTGGAACGAGGGGGAGCTGTTGCTCCTGTCACAGGCTGAGGTGCGGGAGCCGCTTCTGGAAAGGCTAGCTCTTGAGTCATCAGCGTGTGCTACCAAAGCCCTAGGTGGGAGAGGCACTGTCTCCAAACTTCCAGTCCGCTGCAGAGCTGCCCTACAGTTCTGATGTTTGAAAACTGACCCTCCCCCTTCTCCATGAGGGGACGCCCTAAACAGTGTCGTAGGGGAAGGACAGTGCTAGGTCATAGCTGTACCCAGCCATGGTGTCACAGGGGGAGCGGCAGACAGGAAGAGGGCTCTGAAAGGCCAGCTGGTCCACAGCAAACTCATAGGCATGGATCAGACCACGATGTCTAGAGGAAGCAGAGATAAGCATCAGTCAGCAAGGGGCATGCAATCGAGGCTAGCCCTCCACCGTGACAGTGTGTGCTCTGAGCCCACAATGTCAGATATGCAGACACCATGACGGAGGTGAGCAGGGAGGCCCAGCAGACAATGTTTAGGATCTTTCAGAGGGCAGGCAGAGGGCTTGCCTCGATGTCACACTGACACTGTGGCCCTGCTCTGCCCAGATGTCAGGAGCAGCTGTGGAATGCTCCAGACAGACAATTAGTACGTGCTTCTGTTCTACTGCAACCACTATGTGCCCAACTTCTAGAGAAAACAGGGCCCATGGTTGATGCTCTGAGAGGAACATGTGATGGGGGGGGGGGTGCGATGAAACCACGCTAAGCCATTTCTCAGGATGTGCCCAACCCCGCACTGACCTCCTGTGACAGGCAAAGGTGTCCAGGTCGGAGTTCCGCACCACCTTCTCGTAGGGCACGTTGGCAGTGATCAGGCTGTGGCTATTGAAGGAGACGTGGCGCACAGGGTGCCTGGAGCAGTGGGGAAGAGCACTGTGAGGCTGGAGTGCAGCCTGCCCCGGCTGTGAACCGTGGACCCTCTAGGCATACTTTATACTATGGAGGAGGACCTGGGGTGCAGCCTCAGCTCCCAAAGCAGGCATGAGCAGCCTTCTCTAGTTCCATTTGTACACACCCGCACCCTTCACATACTCCAGCCAACTGCTTCAACAAGTTGGTGTGTTTGGGATATAAGGATGTTCAATTTGAGACAAGCCTGCAACATGGCATCGAGATCCAAAAGCCATGTGCGTGAGGCCCTGGTACCAAAGTGATGGCTACAACTGGCAGCCATGCTGTGAGCCAGGGGACAACAGAGTGAGGCTCCTGGAAATGGGCGCTTGCCCTCGGAGGCTACAAACCGGGAAGGTAAGGCTGCAGGAAGGAGTTCCATGCCACTCCAGCTGGGGCTGACTGAGGTCAGCAGGGAGGAAGCCTGTGGTAGGAACAGGCCTTCTGGCTCGAGGATAACGGGAAAGTGCGTAAAGGAGGGGACTTGGTGAGGGAAGGCAGGCTGAGGGCAGGCGGTCAGACCAGCAGCCGGACTAGAGCTTGGGGAAGGACCAGGACCCTTACCAGAGAAGACCTCACTTCCCTGGGCCGCCCTCGAGTGGTGAAAAGATCTGCTGGGTGTTGGGCAGCCTGCCTGAGCCACTGCAGAAGCCCAGAACGGACGGACGGACGGAGCTGTCCTGGAGGCACAGAGAACTAGCTCTCTACTGGCTTGCCTGAAATTTGGGCAAATGCTGGAATCTAGTGTGGGAGTTTGAGCTGTCCTTTGGCGCCACCTGGTGGCACCATTGTGCATTACCATCTAAGGTAGGGACAGAGGGCAGTGTGGTACCACTGGGGTTCTGGTCTCAAAAGCTGTTTGGCCAGAGTATTCAACACCCTTCAGGCTAAGAAACAAATTTCACTTATGTTTACAAAGCCATCGACCCTGCACTTAAACGAAGGCAGGGCTGTCTTGATTTTGCATCGGGGTGGGAGAGTTGCGTCTGTGATGATTTTACGCTGGCACTTCCACAGCACCACACCCTTTTACAGTGGAGCCAAAGCTCAGCTAGACAGGAATTGGGGCCACGCTCCCCTACTGAAGGCACATGAGCCGGTGGGAGTTCCAGGCTGCTTCTAAATTCAAAACTGAGGCAGGCTCACATGAACAATGTTACCAGTGGGCACCATTCACAGAATCTCTCCTGTTCAAGGCCAGATGAGCTCCCCTTGGCTGGCGCTCACTTAACTTGCACACTATGTGCCCTTCTTTATAGTGAAGGAAGGCCCAAGCCACACACCTGAACACACCTGTGCCAACCCATCCACCTGCACCCTGGAAATGAGTCTCGCCAAGCTGGCTCCCTTGTTTCCTGGTAATTAAGATGAAGGAATCTACAGTGACCAACACAGTTATGAAAAGTTCACTCCACCCTAAGGAACTAGGATGCTCAGTGAGGCCGCATGGTACTCTGGGCGATATTAATGGGGGAAAAGAGAGGAGCTGAAGTCTCAGGATCGGTCTCTCCAAGCCTAGGTCTCCTTCCTACAAAGCTGCTTTCAGGAAGGTGGTGGCGTGGGCACAGGCGGCCCGGAACCACTCCAGCAACCACGGTCCACACACAGCAGGGGTCAGCTTACCTGGAGTGCACCTCCCACAGCTTCTGGTTCATGCGGTAATCCCACACAGACACCAGCCCCTCCTCGCCCCCACTGACGATCTTCCAGTCATCCATCTGGACTGCGGACACCCCCAGCTGATGGGCGGACAGTGACAGGGCGATTTTATCACTGCGGAGGTCATGGAGCCTCACTCTGGAAGATGCGAGGAGAGGGGTTAGTGAGGAAGCCTGCATCCCCAGCCCGGCTTCAGCTATGTGGTCCCTGCAGCATCCCATGGGACTCAACATCTGCAGTAGGATCGACACTTGGTCTTCTGATCAGACAAACCCCATGAAAGCCCTGGCAAGGCAAAGGTAAAGCTCGTGCTGTCCCAAACTATCTACAGTGTATACGCACTCGCTGCTTCCAGGGTCCTGTGCAGTATTTTAACCCCAAGACCATGCCTCACTCATTCCCCAGGTCTGAAGGCTCAACGTGAGCAGCTGCCTGCTCATGTGTGGTCTCAAGTGCACACGAGACAATCACAGATCAGACCTGCTGCACGCACAGAGGACGAAGATGGATATTGCAGTTCTGTGCCAGAGAAGTTGGACTTCAGAGCTAATTTTACTATTTTGTCAACCTGCCCAGGAGAACCAAAGCCACGGGGCCCTAACTTCCTTTTTACAGATGGTGCTTCATGGACTTTAGACTTCTGCTTCTCTGTTCTCTATCACCTCCCCAGCTTTTCTGTTTGAGTCCATTTTTTAAGCTACGGAATTGAAAATTTAGACGAGTGAGTGACTTTCTAGGAAAGAAGAGAAAAACCAGATCAAAGCCGTGATAGAGAGCAACAGGCAGGGCTGGCCAGCCGTGCGAGGGGCCGCTGCCTACGGGCTCTGAATACAGAAGCCAGGAAGGGATGTTGTTAGCACAGCTGACATCAGGCAGACAACCTCGAGCCCCACAGGAAGCCCCTGGAGACTAGCGGAGCTACCATGTCCCGCCCACAGAAGAAAACCCAGTCAGCTCTACGAGGGCTGAACACCCCCCCCACCCCCGCTCCAACAGGACGCCTCCAAACAGCCAGGCATGATCACACCGCTCCTGCCTGCCCAGTGTTAGAAACGATAAATGCCATGAAGATCAGGAATGACACTGCGACAGCAATTTATCCATGTGAATATGCCCAACTCAACAACTACATTGAACAGTTGTCTGTCTATGTAGTGCCTGCAGCTGGCAGAGGAGGCCATCAGATCCTCTGGAGCTGGAGTTACAGCTGCTAGTTACCATGTGGGTGCTGGGAATTGAACCCAGGTCCTCTGGGACAACAGCCTATGCTCTTAACTGTTAAGCCATCTCTCCAGCCCAAACAGCTACATTTTGTATACCACCCACTAATTGTAAGAAACAGTCAAGGAGCTGGAGATATGGCTCCACAGTTAAAAGCATGGCTTGCTCTTGGAGAGTTTGGTTCCTAGCACCCACATCTGGTGGACCACAAACAGCTGTAACTCCAGCTCCTGGGCCCCAGTGTCCTCTTCTGGACTCTGTGGGCACCATATGATCTTACATGGATTTCAGTTTTAGGATAGCAGTTAATATCAGTATACTGTGTTTTCTCAACTCAGAGCTGAGTTATATATAATACCAGCTACCCGAGAGGCTGAGGCAGGAGGATTGCAAGTTCCAGGCCACCCTGAACAGCTTAGTGATATTCTGTGTTGAATAAAAACGTGGACTGTAGCTTGGTGGCAGAGCTCTTGTCTAACCTGGGGAAATTTCTGGGATTACTCAGGCAGCTGAGGCAGGGCTGCAGAGTTTGCGTCTGGCCTGGGCTACGTAGAAAGACCTTGTTTCAAATAAAGAAGGGGGGGGGGGCGCGCTTCTTAACCACAAAACCCACAAGCCACCCTGAAAAGATTATACAAGTATTTCAGATGGATGGGAGTCGACAGCAGGGGCCCCCTCATAACTGCTTCCTCCAAGTTAAACAGTGAAGACCCACAACTCACAGCGAGAAAAGGCAAGAAAAGCCTCACAGCACGGAGTGCCTCTTGAGCACACCACATCCAAGTCTACCGGTCGTAAGAAATAAAAGCGGATGCTGCTCCTTTATCACGTTCTTTCAGCCGAGACGGAACCTGTAACCCTGCTCTGGGCCTGGCAGTGAGACTCAGAACAGGTGCACACACAAACCCCACTGCAGGGACTGAGCTCGAGTACCACGGTGTGAGGTAGGCTGGAGTGGCTCAAGGCACTCCCGCTGGGGGGTTCGCAGAGAGTGGACACATCCAGGCCACCATGACTCTCCACCTTGATGGACCACACCCTGAAACCCTGAACCCCAATAAACTCTGAGTTCTTTTTGTCACAGAAATGAGAAAGCATGACTAATACAGTCAGGAGAACTCAGGCTGTTGTCACAGTGCTCATCAGTGGCACAGGGACAGGCCTTGGTTTCAGACAGCGAGGCCAGCCTCCCACCACATACCACTTACAGTGGTAAAAACAAAACCAACACCCTTGACCTGCTCTGCCGGGCTCAGGGGAGCCACCTCTCCACTGCCTTGCAGAATCACAGAGCAGCTGTGGGAGGGAGGGGTGAGGCTGCTGCCCTCAGTCCACAGGGCAGCAGTGAGGAGCCACAGAACACCTTGACTCCTGCTTCACACAGCCATTCATCCTCCAGAGTGAAGACACACACCCTGAACATGAACTTCATGAGAAGACACGACAGGAGCAGAGCATGGCGGGCAGGGGCGTCACACCTAGAGAAGGTCCTGGGGAAAGACGGGCTGGTGATGCCCTGGGGCTAGTGCTAGTGAGCACTAGTCACAATACAAACTACGTACTGGAAACGGTTATTTTAAAGTGGGCGCGCACAGTCTTCAGCAGCCTGAGGGAGAAGGAATTACCTGCTAGAAATGATCAATAGACTCACAGGGACATTTGGGGCAGCATTAGAGACGCCGTGAATTTGAATGACTGACGCAGTTACTTATACCATCCCCATCCACTCGGCAGCCCCGGCACGAGCCGACCGTGGAGCACTGGGCAGACAGAGCTCTAGCTGCTCACAGAAGCCTGAACTGTGAGCAGGTGACATGTCTACACCGTTTGCAGAGGAGCCAGGGGGCCAGGAACTGCTCAGCTGAGACAGGGGTCACGGGCCAGTCCTCAAGTGTGAGCAGATGTGTGTAGGGGCTGCACTGAGGCCCTACTGCACTTGCTTTCGGGTGCAGAGCATGCTTCCCACAGCACGGTTCAGAAGTCAAACGCAGCAGCAGCTGCCCGGGAGGAGAGGTGGAGATGCACCAGACCCTCGAGGGAGGTGTCTGCTTTGTTCCAGACATGACTATACAATATACCATTTAAAATTCAGGCCTCAGAGGGTGTCGGCTACACCCGGTGCACACACCTGTGCACATGCACACACCTGATTTGTCTCAGAGGGTGACCTGTTCTCAGCTAGTGTTACGCAGGTATAATGTGGAACAACCCAAGTTGGGCATTGTGGAACAGTCTGGAATCCCAGCACAGGGGTGGGGGGGGGTGGGGGTGGTAAAGGCAGAAGGACCACGGTCATTATTGACTACAGGCTACAACAAAGCCAGTTCAAGATCAGCCTGGGGTACAGGAAAACTTGTAAAACCACACCACCACCATTGACAAAGCACCAAACCAAACCACACACAATCCCAGTCTTGGGATGCAGAATCAAGGTCACACGGCAAGATGGCAGTGCAGGCCTATGGCTACGAGCGCCACTCCCCCGCAGGCTCCAGCAGGGAGGCCTGTCCTCCACGCAGGCACAGCTGCCCGTCTTCAGGCCTCGGAGACCCAAGGCTGTTGGGCACCCAGGAGGGAAGGATCCTCAGGCTGGAGCCCAGCTGGGCACTTGAAACAGATGGGGGAGTGCATGCTGGCTAGCTGGGTCTATCCAGAGCCCTCTGTGAGTGTTTACAGTGTAGCTGTAACACGCGGACACGGGCAGACACGTTTGGTCCAGTAGTTCAAAGTCTGCGTCTGTTTCTCTACTGTGTGTAGACCGCAGCACCAGAGACACAGCAGCTCCGGCTCACTAAGGAAACAAACCTGCCCGTGGGGAAGAACAGTTTCTGACATCTTAAAGAGACGCCTGGCTTCTCCTCGCAGACAGAACTGCACTACTGCAGGGTCCTGTCCACTCAGGCCATCAATTCAGATGAGGAGGCAGGTACCAGCCCGGAAGAGCTGACAGGGTGCAGCAGCAACCCCACAGGCGGCAGCCTGGCAGAGCCTGCAGCCTCAGCACTCAAACCGCACACCCCACGCTGGAAACAGGTAGCCCAGCAAATGGGCAGAGACGTGCCAGGGTGACCAATTCCAGGGACAAAAAGGGGCCAATGGTAGATACTGCGAATCCTCATCTAGTGAGTATCACCAACTTTGCCTGCTGAAAGAAAAATAATTGGTCTGAAAGCTATAATTGTCGTATGTTTAATATTCATGGATGGGCTTGGAGGACAGCCCCAACACTCCCTCTCTGCAGCCTTCACTAATGAAAACTGCACCATAGGAGGCAGCTTTAGCCCGCCAATTAAAACAAAAGACACCAGAACCTTCCAAAGACTCCAGCAGAGGAGCATCCATCTGATGGGCAGGAAAACGCGCTGGAACGGAGAGGGAGGCACGCTCTGGTTGGTCCTGTGTGAAGAGCTCTGAATAACTCATTATAACACTTGCAGATGGAGTGAGCGTAATGTTCGCGCCCTGCACGCACCCTGGCAGCAGGCACCACACACGAGCGCACCACAACTTTCTATGTGCTGGGCAGGAAGGAAGCAAGAAGACTCTTTAATTGGGGGGTCACACCTCGGGGCGTGCTTCCTATTGGTTTGGACTCCACAGTCCCGTCCGGTAACAAGGCAGACTGGGGTGGCAAAGCTGGCGCATTTGGCTCTGGGTTGGCTGTTCTTCAGGAAGAACGCAATCTTGGCTACAGTTCTATCCAGAAAATAAAGGTAAATGTACAGAAAACATTGACACACAAGCCTTTTTAAATTGTGACTAAATGAATAGGGAAAACTGGTATTTTTAAAAGGTTAGTGCACACCTCCATCTGACCTCACTGTATCTGAGCTGTGGAGGAAGGCTGCACATAAATGTGTATGCAGAATCCATGCCTCACTCACACAGCACCGAAGCCAGCCTTCTGAGAATGTGCATCTCAATAGCAATTGGAAACACTTATATTTTCAGATGCACAACATATCCAGCTTTGTCCAGCTGGGCTAAGCTTAGCATGCTCTGTGCCAAACGGTATCACCACAGTGGAGGTTTCTACAAGAACTACAAGCAGCAATCCCTTTGAGGTGATCCCGAAGCTCTTGGCACCCGATTCCTCAAGGAATCTTCTAAACTCTGAGCTCCGCAGCTCACAACAAGCCAGCCTGGGACAGCTTTGATGGCCAAAGCAGTAAAGCTGTTAGTACCAAGGTTTTAGATGACACTTTCCATCTTAAGTCTGAGTGAGAACCAGCACGCTGGCTCAGCAGTGAATACTCATGACAAGCCTGGTGTTTCCTCCTCAGAGCCTTGGATGAAGAGAACCCACTCTACAGCTGTGCTCGGACCTCCAAAAACACGCACGGCACATGTACCCCTCATCATGCACACACTCAATAACTGTAAAAACAGTACCAATAGTTCACATGCCTATGTTGCACATTTTATCCTGTTCTTTTTAAGTTTTTTTTTTTTTTTTTTTCCCTTGAGACAGGGTTTCTCTGTGTAAGAGACCTTGCTGTCCTGGAACTCACTCTGTAGACCAGGCTGGTCTTGAACTCAGAGATCCGCCTGCTTCTTCCTCCCGAGTGCTAGGATTAAAGATGTGCACCACCACCGCCCAGCTCTAAGATTGTGTTTTTAATTATATGTATGTGTGTCTGTGTGCATGTATGTGCACATGTGTGTGCAGGAGCCTCCAGAGTCCAGAAGAGGGCATCTGGTCCCCTCAGCTGGAGTTACAGGCAGTTGTGAGGCCCCTGATGTGGCTGAGAATCACACTCAGATCTCTGCAAGGGCAGCACATGCTCCTTATAGTTGAGCCATCTTTTGGGCCCATTTTGTTTTTTACAGAGCCGCCGTATATAGTCCAAGCTGTCCTGAGACTTGCGCCTCCACCTCCCAGGTGGCACAGCACCACACCCAACTCCAACACAGACGTCCTCCCTCCACCTACGGCGACAGGGGGCTTCCTCTGTCTAGTACATCCTAACAAAAAGCTGCAGGGCAGTCCAGTCAGGCATTGGGGAAACAGATAAACAGGGCAGAGCCGGAACTGGGAACACACTCGATCTCTGTGATCAATTAATTTTCCAGAATGGAAAGAACAATCTCGACAATGAATGAATGGTGCTGAGACGACTGAGCACAAGCCGCACCCACCTCACACTGTACCCCAGACTACCTAACAGGCCATGCACTGTACCCAGACTACCTAACAGGCCATAAACTGTATCCCAGACTACCTAACAGGCCATGCACTGTACACAGACTACCTAACAGGCCATGCACTGTACCCCAGACTACCTAACAGGCCATGCACTGTACCCAGACTACCTAACAGGCCATGCACTGTACCCCAGACTACCTAACAGGCCATGCACTGTACCCAGACTACCTAACAGGCCATGCACTGTACCCCAGACTATCTAACAGGCCATGCACTGTACACAGACTACCTAACGGGCCATGCACTGTACCCCAGACTATCTAACAGGCCATGCACTGTATCCCAGACTATCTAACAGGCCATGCACTGTACCCAGACTACCTAACAGGCCATGCACTGTACCCAGACTACCTAACAGGCCATGCACTGTACCCAAACTACCTAACAGGCCATGCACTGTACCCCAGACTATCTAACAGGCCATGCACTGTACCCAGACTACCTAACAGGCCATGCACTGTACCCAGACTACCTAACAGGCCATGCACTGTACCCAAACTACCTAACAGGCCATGCATTTCCAATGTAGACACTAAATTATAAAACTCAAGAAATCAAACTAGTACCCTTGGAGTAGGAATTTTTTTTATGAATAAGTGGTAACACAAGCAATAAAAACTAGACAAATCACACTCCATCACTATTTAAAGCCCACACTTTGAAGGCCACTGTCAACAAGTGAACATAACCTACACAAGAGGATACTTGACAGATCTGACCAGCGACTTACACCCAGAAAAAATCAAAAACCATCACAACTCCACAATAGAAACCTCAGTTAAAAACAGGATTTGAGTCTGAGTGTGCTAGTTCACGCCTGTAAGCCCAGAACTCAGCAGCAGACACAGGACCGCCCTAACTGTACCCAGCAAATGCTAGGCCAGTGTGCTACAGTGAGACCACGTCTCAACCTGCACCCCACTCAAACAGTCATCTCTCCACGGAAGATGTGCCGATGACACAGGAAATGGGTCCTTAGGCACCAGCATGGTGCACAAGGAGGTGCCTCACAGACTGAGGACATAGAGGAGCTGGAAGATTCCCCAGGGCCAGGGCAGATAGGATGAGCAGCCACTTGAGAAGAGTGTGGCAATTACCGCCGAAGCCAGCAACTCAATTCCTAGGTATCTACACCCAAGAGAATTGAAGAAACATAAAAAATTACACGGGAATTATGGCAATGGTCAAAACTATTAAGAGACTGAATTAATTAAACCACCCAGATGTCCACTGGCTTACCGAGATAGAATGTTGTCCGTCCAATGATGGACATTACTTGGCCATTAAAAAGGAGTGAGTGACGTTCTGGTACAAGTTATCATGTGGGCTTACCTTGAAAACATCAGACTAGGAATAAGTCATAAAAGGCCACATGTCAATCATTTTCCCGAACATCACAGGTAAATGCACGCCAGAATGGAGGGCTTGGGGGAGACAGCAGTGACTGCTCACAGTGCGGGCTTCTATCCGGGGCACCGTCCTGAAATCGACTGTGCGGTTAAGTTGATGGATCACATGACACATGAGCTCTACGTCAAGGAAGTGGTTCTGAAAATGACCTTGTGCTGGGGAGACGGCTTTGTGGGTAAAACACTTGGCAGACAAGAATAAGGACCCAAGTTTGGCCCCCAAGACCCAGGTAAAGCCAGACGCAGCAGCACATGTCTGTACTCCAGCTCTCCTATGGTGAGATGAGAGGGAGGGTGGCAGAGTCACCAGGAGCTCCTGGGCCAGCTAATCTGAACACACAGCCAACATGGAGGAAGCAAGAGCTGAAGACAGTGTTGTCTCTGATCTTCACACGTGCTGTAGCGTACACACACCCACAATAGATGTAGATACACACATAGATGTATGCATATACACAAATATGGATGTAACACACACAGACAGACAGACACACACACACACACACACCAAAGCTGTACCCGGGGAGGGTGACAGAGGTGTTGGTCCAAGGACTGTGCCTAGCAACCTGACAGTGGCAGTCTCACCCCAGCACTGACTCTGGCCCTGGCTCTCCCTGGCAGAGCCTGAAGATGCTCCACTCTAACCCTGGGTGTCACTGTCGAGGCACACAGGGAGGGACCTCAGCGAGCACAGCTCTCGGTCACCAGCCACGAGCTCTCCTCCACGCACCGACAGGAAGGTGGAGGTTCTGGTTCCGGAGCTCTCAGTCCAACGCCGGTAAACCACAGATGAATAGAAAAGGCAGGCACCTAGGCACTGCAGAGGGCAGTCAGGATGATGGACTGCAGCCGAGCACCCTGGGAAGTGGCTGTGCCCAGAGGCTTCCCCCTGTCCCTAGTGTTTTCCTGCGGTCCTGCCCTCAACAGGGGTTCCCACCGACAGAACTGTAAGGAGGCAGGATGCTGTGACCACCTTCCTGGAACTGAATGAGCTTAAAACCCTCCATCTCCCAGGGAGAAAAGAGCAGACTAATGACTTAGGTTTGGGGACAGTGTGTCCATGCAGCCACTCCTAACCACTGGGCACGGCTGCTCTAGCAAACTTGTCCATAGGAGCTTTAAATGTTTCAATTCTTCCCTACAGTTTACTTGCCTGGACTCTTAGATGAGGCAGGGAGTCTTGGCTTTTCCTCCGAAGGCAACTGTAGCCCTCACTGCAGACACAAGCTCAGGCCTGTAGCTCGGGTTTATTCTAACACTGAGGAGCCCTGTTTGCGCCCACCATCTAGTGATGGATGCTGTGCTGAGAGTCCTGGGACCTCCCTGCTCTTTTTTAAAAACTTAACTCTGCTACATTCTAATAAAACGGATTTCTCAAAATCAAACTTGGGCTTCATGCTGACCAGAGGGCCTTCTGAACTGGGCATGGGGCTCCTCATCTAGTCACAACACGTGATGAGGTGGGTACACTCCAGAGGAAAAGGTCAGCTTTCCTAAGAATTCCCTGCGTGTCCTGGAGGACAGCTAGGGTGAGAGGTGGCTAACAGTGGCTGTGATGGTCTGGAGCTGTCTGGGCTAAGGTCTTCCCACACGAGGCTCCTCTGCTCTCTGGGTTCCTGTCAGCACCAAGAAGCACACACACTCTGGGCAGAGTCCCCTGCCCAGGCCTGATATGTGGAGGTCCCCAAGAGCCCCTGACATTTGCTCCACTCAAAAACAGTGGAGACCGTCAGCTCAACTCACAGGAACTAGTTTGTTTCCCTGGCCACATGCTGGGGCTACTTGCAAAGCCTAGGCTGTGGTTGTTGTTGGGGTTTGTGTGCAAGGGCCTGCATGTGTGCAGTGTATGCATGTATGTACCTGTGCAGTGTATGCATGTATGCACCTGTGAACAAGGGCATATGGAAGCCAGAGTCAATGCCAGCCGTCCTCAACTACCCTCTGCCTTATCTCTTGAGACAGGCTTAACCCAGAGCCCTCTGACTTGCTGGCATTGAACTGAGGGCAGTCCTGCCTGTGCCCTTTTCCCCCAGGGTTACAGACCAGTGTGACCGTGCCTTTTTTGGCTGTTGTTGTTTTAAGACAGGGTCTCAGTATGTAGCTTTTGCTGACTTGGACCTTACTACATGGAGCAGGTTGGCGTGAACTCACAAAGATTCCCCGGCCTCTGCTTCCCAAATGCTGAGATTAAAGCATGCCTTGTTTTTTCACATGGGTTCTGGGTTCCAGATTCAGGTCATGTTTGCCTAGCAGTCACTTACTGACTGAACCACCTCTCCAGCCCCCAAGCCTTAGCACACTGAACTCAGAGCTCCATTTGCAAGCCCCACATTCTGAGTCATCTGAGGAGACCGTGAGACAGGGACTGAGTGCCTTCTCCCCACAAAGCATGCTCTGGCTCTCTTTGCTCTAGGTGGGGGTGGAGCAAGTGGGTGAGGTTCAGGATGGAAACACGATGTGATCCAATAGTGATTTCTGTAAGCTGCTACTCTGCTGGGACAGAGCTCTGGGATTTGGCACAAAGAAACACCCAGAGCCGAGCAGCCGCGCACCTGCAGCCCGGGGCTGGGCCCAGGGGAGGGGTGCCAACAGCCTTGGCTTCCGGCCAGTCTACCTCTCTCTGGGGCACTGGATCAGACACAGCAGGTAACTAGCCAAAAAGCAAAGGAGGAGACAAGACAAGGGGGAGAAAACTGAATTTGGACTGGAAGGGTCTTTTCAAACACTTTAATCCTGCAGTGCGAAAGGCTGGCACTGGCCCCTGTACCAGGAAAACTGACTCCCTCAGCCAATGTGTTAAAGAGAAGGCCGCTAATCAGCTAAATAGAAACTGGAATCTGTTCCCATCAAGTCTCTTTTCCGTCACCAGAGGGACACACAGTGCTCTGAAATACACTCTTGGCATCACTTGGCAGGCAGCCCTATTGTGCTGAACACGGCCTGTCCCTTAGGTTATTGTTTTTAATATCAGAAAGCGAGCTTTTCAGTGCCAAACAAATTCTGCAGCAGGGGGACAAAAGATATTCCAAGTGGTCTCGCCGGACTATCCACCAACTGCCTGAGAAGAGAACCAGCCGTCCTGTGTGCCTCAGAAGCGAAGCGGAGGCATAGCACGTCCAACTATTACCTAATGCGAGACTTCGCTCCAAGTCCAGAGGATGGGGAGGGGCGGGGCTGCAGGCAAGGCTGAAGCATGGGGCACTCACAGCTCAGGACCACAAATGACGGTCACTTCAGCCCAGACCTACCTCCTGTCCATGTTGCCGCTGACCATGAGGTTGGGAGGACTGTCCCGGAGGTTGACACAGGTGAAGTCACCGAGCGCGTTGCCAAGCTTTGAGAGGCAGCGTTCTGCTTCCAGGCTATAGACCAGGATCTGAGAGGGGAAGAGAGCACAGGGTGTCAGACCCAGAAGTCAGGGCGGCGGGGCCTCATACACTTCCCACTGTGCTGCCATTGAGGACTGTCCCCAGAAGACGCCGGGCTACTCAATGGCTTGGACACTTCCAGGCCACTGAGAGTAGAGGGGCACAGCTACTCAAGTGACAAAAGACCAAGAGAGGGAAACCAAAGTACAGCAAAAACATGAGACAGAGATGCATGAATGGGGTCAGGCAGCCTGCTTTCCCCACACAGGTGAACTGAACCCTAGCCCAGGTAATTGGTCCTGTTTGTTTTAAAGGAATAAAGGCTACAGGTCACAGGCTTCTGATCTTGGGGTTAACTGAGGAGCTTACAGGGGCTGAGGGAAGCTGCACAGACACCACACTGAGCTACAGTCCAACAGTGTCTTCCCCCTCTGCCCTGCTCTCCCCTCGGCTCCGGTCTCACAGCCGGTGAGAAGATGCCTGTGGGCTCCAGACAGTGCAATCCTCCTGGAAGGTGCCTGTGCTGCTTCTTCAGCAAAGGGGAACAAAGGATGCATCACACAGACGCCCCGAGAGTCAGTTTTGGAATGAAAGAGTCCTATTCACTCAATTGGAGGCATTCAGTGAACAGTGCAGTGCTGGCCCCAGATTCGCAGTGCAGGCCTCCTCACTACACCTCTGCTGACTTTACTGCGCGTGTGGGGAGCATGCTGAGCTGGGTCTGCAGAGCAACTCCGTAGATTTCCCACAGACCATGCTCTCTCTCCTGGTTAATCCAGACACTTACCACTTCGGAGTGGAGAGTCTTACGTCGGTCCTGAGAAATTCCTAACAAGTTAAATCATCTCCACTGTGGGAACCGTCACTCTCAGGACGGTTCACATTTCTAATGCATGAACCTTCGAGAATCTATGGAAGTCTAACTCCACGGTCATAGTCGTTAACTACTGCTAACACGGGAAGGAAAGGCAGCGGAAGTCATAAAACCGTCTCAATGCCTAATGCGCAACTAAGATGCAGCTAAAATGAAAAGTTCCTGACAAAAGTTCCTGAAAAATGGTCTTGCTATGCAGCTCTGGCTGTCCTGGAACCTAGTATGTAGACCAGGCTGGCCTTGAACTCCTAGAGATCCCCCTGCCTCTGCTTCTTGAGTGCTGGGATTAAAGACGTGTGCCATTCCCAGCTCCTGACAGAAAGTTTTAAGCAATTTAAAAATAACTAAAGTGGTGCTGTTCCTAATACAGACATGAGCAAATCCATCTTCAGCAAATGAGCTGGACATTATCGCAGGTGGCTCCTGAGGGAGGGCAAGTGAAATCCAGCAACCTGCTGGTCTGTCTTGAGAACGACCTCGGCACTAAGCGGGTCTGTGGTAAGACTCCAGGTGCCCTGCTCTGTGCATGCAGAGACACCAAAACACCCTTCGACAGGTCCAACACTCTTTCACAATTTTAAAAGAGCTATTTTTTTTTTAAGCAACCATTTTGGACTTAATTGTCATCATAGAGATTGCAGTATTTTGGACTGACCTTTTTGTTTTTAAAGTTCCCCAGTGTATAAGCAGGAAGGCGGGCCTACAGGAGCAGCGGAGGTACAGGTACAAGCACCGAGGCTCACACAAGCCAGCGGCAGGCTCCACTTTTTCCTAGCTCTTTTTGGACAAGTGGATCAATCATCTCTGAGTGATACAGGGAGATGATCCCCGCCAACAAGACTCTGCAAACTCACCATAAAGACATCCAAGTCAGCAGTCAAGTATTTCTAAAACGTTCAATAATTCAACAGATCAGAACTATCCAAAGAGAACCTTTACTATTGCGTTTAGTTAAAGACCACAGAGATTGGAAAACACATTACCATCTCGAAGGCAGGTCTTCCACGCTACAAGTCCCTTAACGACCTTTACCATGGCTCCCTCCCTCCCACACTCTCTCTCTTTTAATAAGGTTGAGCAAATGGGACTTCATTTTATCTGATTGCCACAGACTAGTGATATCAATTATTCATGCTCACACTCCCTCTTGTTAAGACCATGCATTAGACAATTTTTCTCTTTATTACCCTGGTTGGGCGAGTCTTAACCCACGACCACTTGAGTTGTTCTCAGAGGTGTTCAGAGATGCTGGAGAGAAGGGAAACTCCCCCCAGCTGCAATCTGGGAGCAGATGCTCTGCACTAATGTGGCCAGTGAGTCGATCGAGCGGCCAAGCAGCAAATGCAGGTTCAGCAGCATTAGCAGCAAGCACAGTACAAGCAGGCGCTGCTGTCCGCTGTGCTCTAGGAGTTCTAAAGCTAAGCCTGCAGACTGCTGTGTGTCCTGAAGACATCTGCCGGAGATGCGCTGTGAGATCAAGCCCCTGTGTGTTTCCACTCTGTCTTCTAGGTGGATCTACGTGACCCCAAGTGAAAGAAAGGATCCTCTTCAGAAGGGGCTGGGCAGGAAGTTTTCTATTTCTGTTTATTTCCCCCTCAGAGAGCTGAAGTTTCTGATAAAATACAGCTTTCGAATCCTGGCTTTCAACTATTCTGACTGATTTCAGTTCTGCTTTGAAAGATATACTTTGTTTCAAATATAATGTATCTTATAGTAAGTTATAAGAATAAATTACGTAACAGAAGAATGTGGTAGCCCATTGCGACCCATCTCCAGGAACCAGCCACCCAGAACTAAGTAGATTTTGAGTGTGAGGGTCTGTCTCTCTTGCTCTGTATGTGCCAGTCATTGGTGTGTGAGGTTGGTCTTTCACGGTGCTTCTCCACTACAAGTAGCTCTGGTTCTTTGGAATGGAGAACTTCTCTGCACACATAATTCACACTGTCTCGATGTGGTTTTTGATAAAGCATTCAAACAAACGTTACGGTGACAAACATTGACCAGTCCTCCTCTGTGCAGCAGGACTGGAGTGAACGGGTGTGGCAGCCAACACGCTGACAGCTGAAAGAGCCGTGTCTGGCCCAGCTGCTGCTGGCCCAGCCCTTCCACTCTCCACACATGGGACCTGCCTCTTCTGGGACCACAGAGCCATCATACTGCTATGTCCCAGCAGCTGGTGTCTCAAGCAGGAGGAGGGCTGCTGTACTGCCATACAGTCAGGAAGGAAATGGCCACAGGTCCAATGTCTGAAAGCATCAGCCTGAGCAGGGAGGCCAGCGTCTTCCCCATGTGACTGAGTCTGTGTCGGGTGTCTAGAGGCTGCGGCTTTCCAGCCAAATCCTGACGGAAGGGCCAGAAGACGGCTACTACCCTCTCAGCTACCCTCTCAGTGGGGTTAGTTCAAAGCCTGCCATCCCCTCCTCCACCCTTTGAAACCAGGATTCAGCACAGCAAGTTCTTCCTAAACACAGGACTGACATCACCCATCTGTGAGCATGAGCCACCAACAGAGAGATGTCTTCAAAGAGCTTTGGAGTCTTGCCGACAGAGAACTGTGGCCATGTTCTGATGAACAAGGAAAGTAACTTTACCAAAACCGCAGGAAGTGGCTGGTTCACCTCCTTAGAACCCTAGCCGCCTTGGCAACATGGTCAGCAGTGGGCAGAGGCCTCTTCCCACAACAACCGCACTTTAAGAACCTTTGGAAACCAAGAGTGTTTGCCCGCTTCCCTTTAAACAAGGGGCGTGCTGAATGGGGATGGAGTGAATTCCAAAGACTCAGAGCGAAGGCCTGACCCAAAGTCCTGGAGACTTCAGTCACAGCCGACCCTCTCCTCCCTCCCTAATACCTGGCCTCCCCCATCACTACCACATACACTGCTCTTTGGGAGAAAAGTCATGGTCAGAAGCTAGTTGTGAACAGAGCGAGCCGGCCTCACACTCTCCATCTGCACCCACGCAAGGGTCCTCTGCTCTCTCCACTTCCACTCAGCAGAGCAGGAGGTGCATCACTGTGCTGCATCTGGTGTTCCCAAGTGCCACCCTGAACTGTGCCATCCGCTTGCTGCTCTCAAACACAAGGGGAAACAGCAGTCCTGAAGACTGCGGTCCTGAAGGTCAGGTGCAGCCTGGTTACCACGCACTTACACAGGGTGGAGAGTGCGTCCTCCACTGGGCTGTAAGCTCCCTGGAGCAGAAATGCTGCCACCCACTGCCTTTCACTCAGACCAGCAGGGGCCAGAGGTCACAGTAGTTATGTGGGCCTGCATCTGGCTAGGTGTGCGCATTTGTGTTTGGTGATAGCTGGCTGGGACTGAGGCAAGCAAACCGAGAAGTCCCTCCAGTTTGGGCCTTTCCTCTACTGCTTAACTCTTTCCTCCACTCCTGGGTGACCTTGAGGCTCCACAAGGACATGCTTCATCCTGCCCCAACCCCGGGGGCGGGGGGGGGGGGGTTCCCTTGATGTCTGACAAGTTTGCAGACCAGAGAGCCTGGCAGACAGCTTCTCCAAGTGCAGCTCAAGTCTGTTCCCAAACAGCCCTTTGCCCGTTCTCTTCACTCAAGGGAAGCAGAACAACTCACGCAAGCCCAAAGAGACGGGAGCACTGAGAGCAGAAAGGAGCGAGGGGCCTGCTCAGGGGCTGCTCTGGGGACACCCAACAATGTCAGGTGGGGACCCAGCATCTGAGGTCTCTGTATAAAGCTGAGCCTGTGGGGTGAAGGTGGGGCCCAGTCTGGTGCAGCTCAGCTCAGCTCAGCTCAGGGGAGCATAATGCTCCTACGACCCAGAGCCACCAGACCTTTGTGGTGCCTACCCATCAACACCAGCCATGCATCTGCTCACAATAAATCCTACTGTTGAGACAGAGAAAAGCAGGGACGGGCTAACAAGGTAAAGGACACAGAGTCGGCATGTGGACAGTCCCCTACCTCATGAGAGGGACAGAGCTGATGTCCAGACAGTTTCCTGCCATGTGAGAGGCACAGCAAACGGAGTGCATTTGAGAAACTGAACCCAGAATTTCTAGAAATCACAGTAGATGGACGGGCTAAGCAAAGACTGAGGTGACGGGGAGCAGGAAGCGAGCTGTGAACAGGTCCTCAGAACACAGTGCAGAGACGCAGATGGGAGAG